TGAAATGTTTAAGATTTTTAAATAAAAAAATAATACATAACATAGACTCGGTTTTCTAAGAATACAGTTTAAAAATTAAATTTTACATTTTAAAATAGTACAAGAATCCTTAACATATTTAAACTTTAAAAAAGATAAATACAAGTTTTTGATTTGATTAAAAAAACCGTAGGGTATAAATCAAATAATAAAATCAAGGGTAAACTATACATTTAGTATCTAAATTATTAATTTTGATCTATTTTAATACTTAAACTTTTATTTTTTTTAAATCATATCTAACATTTAATTTTTGTTTCATTTTAATACTCTTCGTTAAAAATTTAATACGTTTAGTATCTAAATTATCAGTTTTGATTCGTTTTAATACCTTTAACTTTAATTTTTTTTCTCTAAAACTCAGTGCTAAATTTTAAACGGATACTAAAATAAAACAAAAGTTATTTGTAGGACAAGAAACTAGTGCCACTTGGCTATTTGTCAGTATGGATAAGCTTGATTTGCTTAAGAAGGCAAGGCAGCGTTGGTTTCTTCAGCAGATCCTCCTTCCAAGTAAAATCTCCTTTTAGTTCAAATATCATTTTATTGGCCAAAGATATAAGTTTATATTATAGGGAAGCTAGGATTTCGGGTTGTTCGAATTGATTTTTGATTCGATTTAAGTAGGAAAAGCTCTTTTCATACTTTGAGTTGGCTCAACTTTTTTTTTTTTGGGTTGTATATGGTTCTTGTTGAATATCCATAGAGAAACAAAGTTTGTATTGAAGAGGGGAGTTTTTGAGGTGGTAAAGAGTAATGTTGTCTAAAACTGATCCATTGGAATCGATTACGAATCCGATTCAATTTGTAAAGGAAACACTTTTACCTCTTGAATTGGGCATTAAGAAAACCGCTAAAGATGTTGAAAGTTGTTTTTGGGTGTCAAATAATAAAGGAGATAATGTTGAATTGATTTCCCAATCGAATGTTAGTGATAGGAATGGTAAGGTTCAAATCTTTGGTATGAATAAGAGAAATGGCAGTTTTTGGTAGTGATGTTAATGATGGACAGTGTTGTGTTGGTAGTGAAGAGAGGAAAAAAGCTCCAACTGTGAAACTTCCCGTCAAGGCCTTTATCGGAATGTTTTCGCCTTTAAATGAGAAGAACAATGAGAAGGTTGAGGTGGTTAGGAAGGGATTGAAAGAAAAGGATGTGGATAGGGATGAAGGTTCTTGCATGAATTGCTTTCAGTTTGCAATTACTTGGTCAGCGTTGGTTAATAGTTTTGTCCATACTATACTGAACTCATTTTACTTCGGTAGGAAAAGAAATCGGAGAATGGGTGACAAAGATAAAGGGTTTCGACATTCTTGTATTCATGACATGAAATCAAAGGCTCCAGTTGAGTGTAGGCATAGCGAGGCAAGGGCTCAGTTTGGTGCAAAGAATGAGGGTTTGGAACATAATGATGAAAAACATGCACCATTTGAATGTTTTATAGGGCTTATTCTTGATCAGTTGACTCAAATCTTCAGAAGTTTGATCAGCTTCTCCAGGAAAGTAAACATATGCATCATGATTGCCCTCAGACTCCATCTCCACAGCCTGTGTTCGATTACTTTAAATCAGTGACAAGTATTTGGGAAGGTCAAAAGATTGATGTAAATGGTTTTTTGGGAAATTTGAAGTTTGCTAGAGTGGGAGGTGTTCCATCAGGTATGGTTGGAGTTGCGTCTCAAGTGAACAAAGAGGGTGCTGATGGTGTTAGTACTGGGAGTAGGGTAGAAACAGCTGGTAGTTCCCGACAGAAGTTGGCCAGTGGGATACTTAGCATTCCTCTATCAAATGTGGAGCGTTTGAAATCCACCTTTTCCACTGTCTCACTTACGGAATTGATCGAGCTTCTACCACTTTTGGGCAGCTCTTCACAAGATCATCCTGACAAGAAGAAGCTATTCTCTGTCCAGGATTTCTTCAGATACACTGAGTCTGAAGGTATGATTTCTCAGGCAGCTCGGCAAACAATTACCTTCATATCATTTTCTTTTCTTGGTTTGGTTCCTTGAATAGCAACATCAATAGATATGTTATGTTGTAGACTATACAAGTAGTATAATTCTAGCCATAGTTTTCTTGGTTTGGTTCAAGGATTATCAGCAAAGAAATATATTATGCTGCGACTATAAGTAGTGCAATTCAAATCATAGTTTCTTTAAACTCTGTAGGAACTAGTTAGTTTTGGACTCTGGTTTCGGTTATCACCCTTCCCTTATTCCAAACTGAATTTGGGGGTTGAGAGACTGGTCGTTGATAGTTTTTCTTTTTCATTCTCTTTAATAGACTTCTCAGTTATCGAACTTTATGCTAAACGAGTTCATATCCTTTGAGTTCTCATGGAATTAATTTCAGGGTGGGTAATTTACCATGGCCTAATTTGATCAACTACAGTTCAGTAAAATAGCTATGAACTAATTTTACTCTTGCGTTATTCTTTTAGGGAGGAGGTTCTTTGAAGAATTGGATAGAGATGGCGATGGACAAGTAACCTTAGATGATCTTGAAGTTGCTATGAGAAAAAGAAATTGCCACCGAGATATGCACGGGAATTCATGTGTCGCTCTAGAAGTCATTATTTTCAAAATCATTCAATTGGATTTTGTCTTTGATGGAACAGAAGGAGCCAACTATTCTTCGAGCATACACTTCTCTCTGTTTAAGCAAGTCCGGGACCCTCCAAAAAGTGAAATATTGGCATCACTTAAAAATGCTGGACTTCCTGAAAATGAGGACAATGCTGTTGCTATGATGTGGTTTTTGAATGCAGATACTGAGGAATCTATTTCATATGGGCACTTCCGCAACTTTATGCTTTTGTTGCCTTCTGATCGCCTACTTCAAGATGATCCTCGGTTAGATTAATATTTCCATTTGAATAATCTATAGCAAGTCTAGTTGAAGCTCAAGGTTTAGTTTTATTTATTATTGGCTTGCCTTTTGTTCAGTCTTCACCGTGTAGAACATAAAACTATAGATCGGATCATGGTTACCAAATTAGAGTGTTTAGGTCCGTTTTGTGAAATTGATTGTTTACTGAAGTACTGCTCTGTGTTTCTTGGTCTGGACACCTTGTTAAAAATGTTATCTTTTCCTATTGATCAATGCGTATGTTAGTATAAAGTTTTGGTACCAGGCCTTAAAGGTTATTATAAAAGCTGAATATTAGTAGCAATTACCACCTTCCTGTTTTTCCTTTGGTGAACATATAGTTTTTTCTTGCACATGCACTCCTTTTGCACTAATTCTCTGGTGACTAACTTCCGATGTTAACTTCTTTTTATATTACATACAGGAATATCTGGTTTGAAGCTGCAACTGTTGTTGCTGTTGCACCGCCTGTGGAAATACATACCGGAAGTGTTCTTAAATCTGCATTGGCTGGAGGTCTTGCAAGTGCGCTCTCCACATCTTTACTGAACCCAGTTGATACTATAAAGGCATGTTATTCAGCTTAGTGTTGTTGTTACATGATAAGATATAAAATTTTATATGTTTCCGCATCATTCCCTGTAACTGGTATCAGACGTCCAGAACTTTTACATCATTCCGTACCCTTTGTGAACACCTACTGGACTCTGTAACCATCATATCTTTTGCAAAGACAGATATGCATTCTGCATGTTAGTATTTATTTGTCAGTATGGAGTACGGAAAGCTCATGTCTGGCACTCACTTTCATAACCGTTAATGTTTTTCACATATGGTGGAAATTGTTCCTTTGTGATATTTATGATATATTGGTTTCTCTCGTAGATGGTTTTTATTGCAATTTTTGGTGCTTGCTTTTCTTCAAGATAAACCCTTTAATGTTGTTGGAAAACCATTTTACTTGTTACATATATTTTTTGGAAGCCATTGAAGTACTCCATAGTTTGATAATGTTTCGCAATACCTGAGCTTTTCCGTTTTCTTTGATAAATATATTCAGGCTTTGGCTAAATTGTGCAAGTCATGAAATGCTTACAACTTAGTGCACAACTGGTTCTACGAGTCTTCTTGCCGTCTGCTTATTGTGTAATGTTGTTTACTTTAATATTTATTGTCAGAGTTCTTTGTCGTGAGGTGCCATTCTATGTTGCCGGGATGGGTCTTTATGCTGAATCAAAAAAGGTATTGAATTTTATCTCGAACTTGAGTACTTTCATTGCTCTCGAGTAATTTCTCAGTGTGTATGCGATTTTTCATTTCGGTTCTGCATCTTGTTTTAGATCGCACAACTTCTCAAACGGGAACTGGAGCCATGGAAACTATTGCCGTGGGAGTTTTATCTGGAGGGTTAGTTGCTGTTGTCACTACACCTTTTGATGTCATGAAAACTAGAATGATGACTGCTCCAGGGGGGCGGCCAATATCGATGTCAGTGGTAGCATTTTCTATACTCCATCACGAGGGACCTCTTGGTCTCTTTAAAGGAGCTGTACCCCGGTTTTTCTGGATTGCTCCCTTGGGAGCCATGAACTTTGCCGGCTACGAGTTGGCAAGGAAGGCCATGGTCAAAAATGAAGAAGCGGCTACGGATCAACTCTCCCAAAAGAAATTGGTCAAAATCTAAGTATGCCCCAAATCCTTGGAAGGAAAAGAACATAACCTGGAAGTGGCCTCTAGATTTTTTGTTAGTGGTGAAAACAAACCGAATACTGTTGGAAAATTTTGTGCACTTGGGGTAAGGCAGCAACTTTTTCAAATTTAATTTGTTTACAACCCCTACTTTGTATTTCTCTTTACTTCCTTTTTGAACTGTACTTAACCAAGGTGATCATTTTGTTGGCTTTTGGGTTACATTTTTGTATCTCTTGTACATTATTTTGTAATGCCTTTTTTTTAATAGATTTATTAGACTTGGGGAATAAATGGTTACGTTGATTAAGTTTGTTTACCTCAAAAAATAATCAGGATTTACTCGTTAGTTTTGCACGTCGGAAATAAGGCAAATGAAACCCATGGAAATGGATGCAACTTAAAATGAAAAAGCATGTTTTAAAATATCCACTTTGGTGAATTATTATTGGATCCCAACATTTCCAACAAAAAGATCAACCAAATCAACACAAAATGTGGGTTTTCGTAATCATCATTTGGATCAAAACAGAAAAAGAAACAAAGTTCAACTCGGAAATACTGGTAGACTGTTTTGCACCTTGGCCCTTATATTACCAAAGATGTCTCAATAACCCCAGTTGTCGTTCCGGATTTCATCATCGAATTTCTTTTTCAGCTCGGGATGTTTCTCGAAGTACTCGTCCGCTGTCATGGTGCTGATCTTTTGCTGTTCAAATGAAGGAGCAATAATTTAAAAAATTAAAGTCAACAATTGCAACTACAGTCTACAGTTACAATAAAGAAGCATTCATTAGGGAAGCAGTTTGTGATTACCTTCAGCTCCTGAACCTCAGCAATTTCTTTCTCCAAACGTTCAGACTCTTTCAAAGATTTCTCTTCAGCTTCTTTCAATTCAACCAACTGTAAACCACAAGCAAATAGCCATATCACATAACAAAAAATAAACACTGAGACAAAGTTAAAAGCGGGTCAAGCATCTCCATAATTCTCACCAAGGCATCAAATTTTGGTTTGTATTGAGGAGTGACTGTGTCAACAAACTTGGGGATCTCAACACCTTCATATCATATAAAACGAAGAAAACATGAGGATCATCAACGTAGACAAAAAGAGAACAATGAATAAAAAAAAAACCCCAAACACACACAATAATCAATGCAGGTCCAAAAATTGCCATAATCAAGGCAAAGAAACTACACTACTAAACAAGTTATACAGTGTATACAACCAATATGCCAAGGAAGCAGAGAAATTGAAGCAGCCTCATAAATATGGTTAATTGCTAGGAGGTGATCAGGGGACATCATACTGTAATAAATTTGAAAGTCGTCTGGTTCAGTGATTTGAGTAAACATTTTTCCTTTATCGTAACAAAGGTCTGATTGAACTAATTTTATATCAAACATCCAAAGTACTGAAGTAATAAGAGTCTCGTGTATTCTGTAGAATCTGATTACCATAATTATTATGAAAATGAAAGATTCAAGCATGTTCCTAAAACTATTGCAGCATTTTACAAGAGAATCATATTTAAAAACTTTCTGAGCAAATTATATAACAACCAATAAATGCATCACCCCTGTTTGGAAATCAATTCCATCTTAGCTTCTTGATAAAATATGCAAAGCAGGACATTGTCTAAGAAAGATTAAAGACATCCAGAATTAAAGAGCGACTGTCAAATTCATTCCAACCTTCCCTAATTTTTCATCTAAACAATGAAAAAGGAAAGAGCTTAAGCAAAAGTAAATCCAAAGCACAAATTGAGGAAGCTGCAACCATGTGACGACCTGAAATATGAGGCAAGTATACCATCTATGCTTTTAGGAAACTACAGCAGATCAAATCATAAAGAGCACAGAAAATAAACCCAAAACATGACAATCATCAAATAAACTTACTGTCATAAGCCTCTTTGTACATATCCACCAAGCGCGAGCCGATTCCTTTTCTATAATATTCCCAATCAATAGGTTCAGGTTCCTGCTAAAAAAATCAGATTATCACCGAGATCACAGTTGCAATAAAATTAATGTAAGCAAAAAATGAACAATCGACCTAACGACAAATAAAAGTCTTCAAAAATAATTATTCTTTAAAAAAATAAAATTACCAAAATCCATCAAAACCCTAAAGATCTAGTACAACATTAACCCAATTAATTTTCAAAAGGAAAAAAGGAATCTGAGATGAGAAAGAAGAGAAACCCTAACCTGGCTGAATTTGGTCTGCAAAGTGGAGTTAACTTCATCAAAAGTGCGACGAAGAGTGGCGAACTCTTTGCGAGCCTCATCGGAGACCAAAAGCTTCGCCATCCCTTCCCAATCAATGTTCTTTGATGCTTTGAACGCCACGTCGACTACTTTCTTCCCTGTTCCGCTCATTTTTCTCGCACTATCGCGTTTCCTAAACGCAATTCTTTTTCCTCCAAGCTCTAGGTGATGACTGATAAGAATGACTGCTGCTTCTTGTTTGGGAGATAAAACGATCTTTAAATGAGAAATTTTGATTGTTCATGATGGGCAAAATTGGAAATTGAAAACTTGACCCGACCGGTTCGATCTGCTTATTTTGGGCTTTATTTAAATACCTCATGATACATCGGGGATTCTCTGTCAACCAACTGGATTGTGTTGGGCTTTATTTAAGAACCTCTAACCGAGATTTTGACGGTTAATTCAGTTTAATTATCGGTTCTAAAATTAACACAGTATTTACGAGCATATGTTCATCAAATTTTAGTTGAGCAAATATGGTGATAGGACAAATGGTAGGCGCAGATATTCTCAAAGAAACAAACACCGGATTCGAGATCGATTTCGGCGAAACAAATAGACCCTTAATGTTTGCAGCTGATTTCTGTTGGTAAGAATGCTTTCAGTCACGTTATGGTGTGTTCTGAAACCTGCAAAACTCATAAGTTGACAAAGTAACCACAATATGAACATTCATTCCCGTCGGGAAATCGAATGCCGAACACAAAACACAACGAACGTGCCCCCAATGGAGAACTCATTATTATCAAGAGTTACGAGGTGTAACATATCGTGCAGAACATCTCGGATAAGATAAATAACCAACTTGTCTCATAAAAAACTAACATATAACTTATTTATGAAAAACAGACAATTATCTCCCTACCCCTTGGCCTCTCGTTACTTCTTCAAGGCTCAAGAAGCATTAACAAGTTCAATAAAACGTCGTACAAAAACAAGTCAACAAAACCGGGATTTCAATCGGTTCTACTTGTATTGAATCTCCGGTACTTATAGAATGGAGGCAAAATTATTCTCCACTAGACGAAGAAGGTGAAGAAGACGAAGAAGGTGAAGAGAATTATCATCCACTGATATCAAGGCCTGATAAATCTCAGGAAGCTTAAGACCAACACTTGCAGCTGATTTTCCAAGTACTCTTTTCATTTCATCCGACCTGTCTACCGCAATGTTGTAAGAGAACAATTATTCCTGCCATATAAATAACAAAACCGGAACAAAAATGATGCGCTTGCTGGTGACATGGAAGTATATAAATAACTATATAATCAATACAAGCAGGATAAGAGAAAACATGAAGACCATAACTAATATAACATTAGAGAAACCAATGACAGGCATCTTAAAGCCTTCTCTATTAATCCCTGGATGAAAAGAAAGCCTTGTATTAATATACCAAACATGTCTTAGAGAAACCATGCCACAGTCCCACAAAATAATATCCAATATGTTTGGATATGGTCTTCCAAGAACCATCCCTAGAAAAACTTTTGAAATGATTGAAGATACCCGTGTTAGGCACTATCATAATGCAAGCACCATAATAATGAATGTAAAACATTCACAAAATAAAGAACACCAATGGAAAAACCTTTCGGAAAAAAACCGCCGATTGAACTTCTATTTTACACAAATTTAGTTTCCTACACATACAAAGGAAAAAGTAGAGTTCTACGCATATTGAACTTCTATTTGAGGTGAGTTTCTTCCTGACCATCTCGGCCCCGATCAAAAAAGAATTTGGGTCACACTGCTCTAAAAAGGCATAAAACCCGTATCCCACACTTACACCCGAGTACACCTAACATGGGTCCAATAAGCAACAACCAATGCTAAACTAGCAGATTTAGAATCCTTTTGATTACTGGTTTTGCGGTTCCATTTTAATTTTTGAGAATCAGGAAGCAAAACGGCATTTCAATATAATATAAACCATATATTTGAATAATTTGAAATAAATTATTAACAACATGAATTTCTATTAAGTATACATAATTTTAAGAAATTATAAAGACACGTGAAAAATAGCATCAGAGGGAGCTTAAGCGTAGCAGTGAAAGATAGCATTTACCTTGTGATGATGCACACTGTTAAGTAAATATATAATCATTGGCAAGCTGGATCCTTTGGGCAACCAAGGAAGGGTCTGAAAGTTGACTGTTCTTCCTGAACTGTTCTGTTATATACTGGCTAAAATGCTTCTTATACTCTTCTTTTCCAATGTGTTTTTTCACTGCTTTGAGAAGATCACAATATGCTTTGAATGCTTTCAAAGCTTTGCTCACAACCCATTGTCAAGCCCTTTAATCTGTGGTGTGTGTGTGTGTGGGGGGGGGGGGGATCACAATGTCAAAACTAAGCGGTGTAAACACTCTCTCTAACGCATTTTATCAAACAGTATGAAGAAGTTAACAAGTCTGGTTGAGAACGAGACTTTACGAACTTTACTTTTAAAACAAACCCAGGAATCGAAATGGCCTAAACTAAAAAGATTAACATAAAAACATGAAAGAAGAAACCAATAATGAAGTTCCCAAGCGGAGATAACTGAAGAAGGAATTACCTCCGCTTCCTTGAGAGCTTTTTTTTATTAATTTTTTTTTTAAAAAAAAACCTTTTCTGCTTTCTTATTTTTATTTGAAATTTTCGTCTTTTTTATTTCACCCAAGAAAAAATAAAAAGATAAAAAGCCCATGTGATTTGTTGAAAAAGGCTCAGCCCATTTTCGACTTGTCTGGACTCTCTTGTGTTATTGAATTCGAAGATGACCGAACTAAGTAGAAGAAAAATATAAAACCAGATCTTTCTTAATACTAATAATCAAGAAAACTCGGTACTTTATTTCCATAGAAGAAGTGAAAGGGGAAATCGAGGGAAAATGTCAAGAGAGAAACTCCGAAGAGCCACACTCCCTCCTGTTCAAGAGGTATTCGTTTTCTATTTCTATCACTTCAGTGTTTTTTTATTTCAATAAATATATATATTACTGAAAAAATGGAAATAACCCATCATTTATTTCGTCGAAATCTGGGGGGAAAAGAACAAATTGATTATTTGGAACTATTTTTACATTTATGTACTTTTTTCCAAAGCTTTGTTTGGTTGCTAAGAAAATAGGGGTGCTGAATGTTGGAGGAATGGAATGTTTCATTAAAAATAAGGAAATTTGAAACCTTTTGATAATTTTCTCTGGGTTTGTAGTATTAACATGTGTAAAGTTTTGTTCTTTGAAAGAAACAACTTGATTTCCAATCAGGAGTAAACTGATAAAGATTGTAGTTTATATTTAGGTATGATTTTACTTTATTTTTATGGTGAGGAATGATTTCTATTTGATTTAGTTTTTTCTTTTGATATGAAATGCAGAATATTACTAAATTAGAGAAAGCTATAAATGAGGGCAATTTCTATGGGGCTCAGCAAATGTACAAATCTATAAGTGCACGGTATGACTATCTGCAATTCTCAAATTTATATTCTTTGAGTTGCAAATAGCTAGATATGATATTAGTCTCTGTTGCCCGGATGCATGGAAAGTCGTGCCTATTATACATGTCAAGTATCACCAGAAAGAAAAAATGAAGAACCTTAGCAACATAGGTATTAGCTGTGCTTAGAGTCTCAGATGAGGCTTAATGGGGCAGATCCCCTTATGGTTTTGGATGAAAGGCTTGTATGCTTGAGACTTGAGTAGGTTATGGGACTCTGCTAGTGGCATTCTTTGTTTTCAAATTTGCTTAGGATTCCATCTCAGTTGTTAAGGGAGCGAGTAATATGACTTATTGTTTTGTTCCTTTGTTTTCTTTTTACTAATTTTGAAGTTGGGACAAATTTAAGAATGGTGCTTACCATGTTTGAACTTCTGTTTACTTTGGAAGACTTATCATTGATTTCGAAACATGCGTGTTTTATTTCAGATATGTATCTGCTGAAAGATATTCTGAGGCCTTGGATTTGCTTGAGTCAGGTGCATGCCTCCAGTTGAAGCATGGACAGGTAATTATTTTCCCTTTCAGTTACATTGGTTCAGAGCTTGTTGATCAAGTTCTTTTTCTTTTTCCCTCAGTGTTCTGTGCAAAAGCATCATGTAGTTGGCATCGGTTGTTTGAAATTTGGCCCCAGGATGAATTGATGATAATTGGATACTACTATATTTTGTTTTATCTCCTTAGGATAATCATTGGCTTAGAATCTTGTTTTTTTAAGATTTGAACAAATATAAGATGGCATCAATATTGTAATTGCAAATATAAGATGACATCAATGCAGAAATTGCAAATATTTCATGGTTAATTTGCTTTACATGCTTGGTTGGCCTTCCTCCTAGTCAAAATATAATATAGGATGTAAGTTTGATGTAAGCTAGTATATCAAAGGCTAGGATATATTAGCGATCTACTTGACCCAATATTCTACGAGGAAGGCAGGTTAAGAATGTTGATGTTGATAAATTCAATTGCATTTTACTTTATAATTGCTTAAAAACGATTGTGCTGTTGTGGAAATAGAGGTGGTGAAACTTGCATGAGGAAATTGTTGGTTGCTCTTCTTAATTATTGTCCTTAACTTCATGGACATTGCATTGAAGTCACGGGAGTGAAAAATTTTCAGGTTACTTGTGGGGCAGAGCTTGCAGTTTTGTTTGTTGATGCACTTGTCAAAGGGAAAATTCCATATGGCGGAGATATCCTTGGTCAGTACATGTGTTGTCTTATAGTTTGATTTTCTTATCAGCACAAATTGTGATTATTAGTTTATGAACCCTCCCTTATTTTGATGACTTGGGTGCCTTTTATATGGAAAAAAACTTATAGTTCATTATATTATTTTATATATAGCTGTTTGGTTCATTTGGTTCTGCTATTTCTTTTCTTGTGATTATAACAAAATGTGTATTTTAGACCGTGTCAGGAAAATATAATGTTTTTCCTAAGGTGCCGCTGCCTACTAACATGGAAGATGATGATGATGTTCGAGAACTTAATGAAGCTCTTGGGGCAGCAAAAACACATCTAGAGGGCTGTTCATCATTCATAAGAGCTGCTATAAAGTGAGACATCGTTCCCATATTATTTTGTTGATTAGCTATTTTCTTTCTTCTAATGATTGTGGTGCTATGTTTTCATGAGAGAATTTACTAGACGGATAGTGTGGTTGCTCTTATACCAGT